AGACCACGCCTCCTGCGTACACCACCAAGACCCCGGTCTATACGACAAAGGCTCCGGTCTACACCACCAAGACCACGCCTCCTGCGTACACCACCAAGGCACCCGTCTACACCACCAAGACCACGCCTCCTGCCTATACTACCAAGGAACCAGTCTACACGACAAAGGCTCCAGTCTATACTACCAAGACCTCAGCTCCGGTCTATACCACGAAGACCACGCCTCCTGCGTACACCACCAAGACCCCGGTCTATACGACAAAGGCTCCAGTCTATACCACAAAGACCACGCCTCCTCCATACACTACCAAGGCACCCGTCTATACTACTAAGACCGCCGCTCCGGTCTATACTACTAAGTCACCGGTCTATACAACAAAGGCTCCTGTTTACACGACAAAGACCTCGCCTCCTGCCTATACTACCAAGGAACCAGTGTACACCACAAAGACCACGCCTCCAGTGTACACCACAAAGGCTCCGGTCTATACCACCAAGACCACCGCTCCTGTGTATTCGACAAAGACCACGCCTCCATACACTACCAAGGCACCCATCTATACGACCAAGACCTCGGCTCCTGTGTACACAACCAAGACTACGCCTCCGGTATATACGACAAAGGCACCGGTATACACCACCAAGACCACCGCTCCTGCGTACACCACAAAAGAACCGATCTACACCACAAAGACTCCAGTCTACACCACAAAGACTCCAGTCTATACGACCAAGACTTCAGCTCCTGCGTACACCACTAAGACTACGCCCCCTGCCTATACTACCACGGCACCAGTCTACACCACAAAGACTCCGGTCTATACGACCAAGACCACGCCTCCTGCCTATACCACCGAGGCTCCGGTCTACACCACAAAGACTCCAGTCTATACAACCAAGACCTCGACCAAGGCACCGGCGTACACGACAAAGACCTCGGCGCCTGTGTACACAACCAAGACTACGGCTCCAGTCTATACCACCAAGACTACTCCTCCTGCGTACACCACCTCGACCCCGCCGCCCTACACTGCTAAGACTACCACCACGGCCCCAGTTTACACCACCAAGACATCTGCTCCGGTCTACACGACCTCGACCAAGGCACCGGTATACACCACCTCGACTCCGCCGCCCTACACTGCTAAGACCACGACGCCTTACACTCAGCGCACCACTTCGACAACACCCTACACTCAACGCACTACCTCTACCACACCCTACACTCAACGCACTACCTCTACCACGCCTACGTCGACCTACTCGCAGCGCACCACCACATCTACTCCGACCACGACGACCGATCCCGAGTTCACTGGAACCATCTATACCAAGACTGTTTCTGCTCCGCAGATCCCGACATAATTGACCATCATTTCTCTGGAGACGCCGATATCCCTTTCCTGAAGATCTTCGACAATACCCTGTCTTTCTTTTCATCCATCTTGGCAATCATCCGCCGATCGTTATAATCAAGTTTCTCCATTAATAGTCAAAGTCTGTTCAGATACGAATAATAAATAAATAAAGTTAATAATTCACACGTTGGTTTTCAATTAAAAAAGCTTTTTACCATGAACAAAACGAAAGAACGAATAGAAAAAACATCAATTGATTTAATAAAAAAAAAACTCGTGAGAACCGAAAATGATATGAAAAAGAAAAAAAAGAAAAATAACTGCTTGTTGTTTAGCAGCAAATTTCTGCACAACAGAAGCCAGCACAGAGACCAGCAAGACATCCACCGCCGCCGCCTTGCAAATGCGGCCGCTGCGATGCTGGTTGCTGGACATAGACGACCTGAGGAGCTTGCTGTTGCTGAGGATACTGGTTGCCGTAGTATCCCTGCTGTCCACCGTTGTAGTACTGGCCTTGCTGCTGTCCGTACGGAGGCTGAGCAGGAGGTGCGTAAAAGTTATTGCTGTGACGACCCATGGTTAGTTGTTGAAATAATAAAAAAAGAAGTGTTGTATGTACTTGAGTGTATATTCAATAAGAAAGAGAGAATGGATTTACAAAGATGTTACGGTCGGTCAGTCAGAATATATAACTTGGCAAAATAAAAAAAAAAAAGGGTACAGATAATACAAACAAAGAGAGAGACAAAAAGATATAACAGTTTTCGTTTCCACGACAAAGCAAGAAAAAAAAGCACCCATGTGGGAAACGTAGGTGTATTTATACCTCCGCAACAACAATGTCATTACTGTATTGTTCAAATGCTATCAAACATCCACAATAAATGCCCGCTTCAAACAAGTGTGTTTCCCCCACTCCGTTTTACTGAAGGGGACACACTCACAAAAAAGGAACAATATCGATTGTTCTTTTTTGCTTTCTCTCAAGTCCTATGCTCCTGTCAAATCATAGCATTAATTATACTGGTCACGCCTGCATTTCTTTCCATTGGGCGCATTGAGGCTGTTTCAAAATGGAAATAAAGGACGCAAGCCAGACTTTTTTTTCCACTCCCTTTTTTTATTTGCTTCCGTTAGGGGGGTTTTCCGCTATTTTGCCAAGCACCGAAAATAGAACACATACGTAATTGCAAAAAAAGAATATTTGCGCTATTGAGTACACAGTCGTGGAGTTTTCTTGGTATTATCACAATTGGCCACTGAGTATGTCAAATAAATATTAAACTCCTTTTTATTCCTCGACGGTTGTGAGAATGAAACAAAACAAAAATAGATGATGAACTAAGAAAAAATGATTTATACACAGCTTCACCTGTTGTTAAAGGATTAGCAACAGACTTCGGCACAGCATGCGCCGGCACATATTCCGCACAAAAAGTCCCAGCATCCGCCGCTTCTTCTGTAGCGATATCCGCCCCCACTGTGGTGGTGATAATGTCTCCGATGATGGTAGTGTCCGCGACGGGCTCCCGGGACTACTCTTCTGCGACGAAACATTGAAAGATAAGTTGGGTTTTGTTTAGCGTTTAGTTTAGATTGCAAAAAGAGAGGAAGAACGGGCGATGTTGTTTAGGTACTTGAAAATGATAGTATTAAAAAAACCATTATTGCTGTTGCTTGCCGGGGCTCCTTCCTATATATACGCGTTTCTGGAGCTGGCGTTCGCAGCGTAACACAAAAAGCATGAATAAAGTGTGTGCTTATCGACCTTGGTCACCCTATGTTACACACACATACGCATGCACTGTTTATATCTTATCCATGACGTTACGTTGTTTAAACCACACTAAACCAATGATTCTTGTTTATAAAATACACACGAAAAACTATTAAAAAGGCTCGACACTCTTTACTTTGCATGACATCATTTAAAGGCAGCAACAGCATTTGCCCATACACATGCCACAGAGGAACGGCATGCATCCACCGCGCTTCTCGACAACTTTCACTTTTTCGGGTCTCTGGTGTCCGTGACTATGCCGCCCTCCACGCCAACGGCTCCGCAAAGCTCCGGGCTTGTATTGCGCTGGCTCTACGTATCCAGGCTGCACTTGATTGTTGTGGACGCGCTGGCCGCCGCGATCGTGATGTCCAAAAATGCTCATAGTTAGTTAATTAATCTGTTGTGATGAAAAAGGTGCTGTTCTTGTTGCTGAAGAATTGCAATGAAATCCAAGGTAGATCAATCTAAAAAAGCTGACGATTGGTGACCCTTTTATATGCATTTTGCGGAATGCCGTTTCTGTCACTAGCAGTACGAAATAAGGTCGTTTCGAATACCAGAAAGACGCGATGACAACATTTACGTATTTGATGCAATGCTTGTTTTCTGGTAATGATCCCAGATCACGCTGCGCAGCAGGTGCGCTCATCAGCACGCAACGCGCAACACACCGTCGATTGCATCACTTTACAGAAGCAGGCACGTGAAAAAAGAAACAAAAAATCTGCACGATTACTGCTCCTTTTTTGCCCAAAACATCCAAAAATAGAGCCCTCGTTTCGATTTCGACAAAGAATTCACGCCAGCACACAGGAAATACGCATTGCTCGATCATCACGCATGGAACCCCTTGCATTCGTCTTTATTATTTTTGCACGCTCAATGACGATGCTTCTCGCCTCCATGCTCTTCGTCGGCACCGCAGCCGCAGCCTCGACAATCCCGCTGACGCGACGCACCGTTGACCTGATCAAGCACCTCGAGGGCTTCGTCGCCCAACCAGCCCCCGACCCCGTCGGCCTGCCAACCGTCGGCTACGGCCACCAATGCACGATGGCCAACTGCTCTGAGATCCCGCGCCTGCCGCTGACCCCCACCTCAGCCCACTCGCTGCTGCTCAAAGACATCGCCGAACACGCCGTCGCTCTGTCGCAATCGATCGCCACACCCGTTGTCCTCAACCCCAACCAATGGGGCGCGCTGATCTCGTGGGCCTATAACGTCGGCTCGCAGAGCGTCAAGCAATCAGAGCTAGTCAAAAAATTAAACGCTGGCGAGCTGCCAGAAAACGTCGTTCGCCAAGAGCTGCCGAAATGGGTGACCGTCGACGGAAAAACACTGCCGGGTCTGGTGGTCAGACGCAAAAAGGAAATAGACCTGTTTTTCTCGTAGAGAATAAAAATGACGAAAGTGGGATTCGAACCCACGCGGTAAACCACTGGTGCCTAAAACCAGCTCCTTAGACCACTCGGACATTTCGCCATCAGCGAGACTCTTTCCAGCCAATAAACAATTTCAAAAAATGTCCATTGCAGTAAAATAGATTGTTGCTGATTGCTTAGCTGCAATTAAAAATTTGTCGTTGCAAGGAGGAGTAATTTATTGTGTTTTAAACAAAAAATAAGCGGCATATGCAAAGATACCATAAAAAAATCTATTGTTTGCAATTGCTTTATAAAAAATACATAAATAAATAATTAAGAAACCAAGTGTCCAATCGACATATTTGCATGAGCCGCAGTTGCAGTCTCAGCCGCAGCAGCATCTGCAGAATCCGAGGACAAATCACCACCACTGTCTGACCGTGCATTTTTTTCTTCTGGCAAATCTTTAGCTATTTCCGAACTATCGGTGACGAATTCCAACGTACTGTTAGACTCGAGTAAACGGAAAAAGGCAGCGACGCAATGAGGTTGGATGAAACAGTGGATTTTGGCCGGCGGCAGAGAAAGAAAGTTGTTTGGATAGTCGCATGGATAGAGAAGTACGGGGATTCCGGGTGTAGGCCAGTTCATGGAATGCGTGACGTAGGTGAGAATGGATTTATCTGACGAGAGCACAGACGGGGTGAGTGGTAGGATGCGGATCCTGGTTCCGGCGATATGCGCAAAGGCGCAGGGCTTTGTTGTGGATGGAGTCATTTTCAAAAATAAACAATATATATATATATATATATATATATGAGAGAATGAGTTATAACTGATGTACAAGAAAAAATGGTTTAATGATTCGGTAGATGTAGTCCGGAAGGATAAGGACAAAAAATATGAGATATTTATAGTGAATCAAAAGACGTTTGTTTAGTAATGCCAAGAAATACAGAAAAAAAAAAGTATCAGAGAAAACAAAATTGATTGATTGAGGGTGGGTGCCCTTTTTTTCTTAGAGTAATAGGCTTAGTAATATATAAAACTTTTATATATTTTTTCTTTGGTAAAACGTTGTGCCGCAGCACTTGACAATTTGCTAAACCTCTTTTTTTTATTTTCTTACAAAAAGTATATTTCTTTTTTCTTTTTTCTTTTAAACCTGCTTTTAATTTTTTTTTGGTGTACTGCGGATTTCTCGAACCTTCTAATGCCAAGTGACCTTGACATAAATAAAAAATATATATATGAACGCGTTATATACAAATAATAAGAAAATAATAAACGACAAAGAAATGGAAAAAAATACATGCCCGCAACGCTTACAGAGAAATCAGGTCTGCTTCAAATACAGTATTAAGCGAATCCAAAGAATCCGAACTTTTCCTCAACGACTCTTTACGTCTAGGCGGCAACTTTGGCGGCACCTCTCTCTGTAAAGACTCCAAACCAGCTGTCTCAACAAACCGAACACCATATTGCTTAGCCTCCGTATAAAACTCCATTACATGTTCCGGCTGCATAAAACAACGGACGATACGCGGCGAATAGAAACCCAAGTTATGCTCATATTCGAATAAATCGATTATAACCAGGATACTGTGTGTCCAGTCCATCTGTTGATGTACGTATGTGCGGAGTACACCGATGTCATCTTCCATCGAGGGCTCAAGATCTATTACTTGCACAAGGTTGTCTTCTATGTGCGCAAATATACAGGGACGGGCCATCTGTGTCATTTGTAAGCAATTGTAGTTGTGTGTGTGAATGAAAAAGAAATGAAATACAAAGATATATTGTATAGGAGAAAAAAATAAAGGAGAAGAATAGATGAGAGTTGGTTGTGTCCGCTTGCCTGTTTTTTTTATATAGACCACGTCGTTTGAGGATGAGGGTGAAACAAAACAAAAAATGAAGCTTGTAGTATAGGAGCAAACATCGTTTGCTTGTAAAAAAATAAAACGATTCTATTTTTGGAAAACCAAGCATCGGCTGCTGCTTGTTTTTTTCTCTTCACAAAATCCGTTGTTTCTCCGCATCTAAAGAGAAGCATAGAATTCTAGAAAGAAAAAGAATAGTTCTACGATTTTCCCTCTTTCCACGCAGGTTTTCAGAAACACCTTACCCCCTCCCATTCTACAACATCAAAGAGTTTTTTTTATGGTGGTCATCGCAAGTGAAAACAAGAGTAAAAGTTTGTTGGTTTTGTAATCAATTATTGTCGGAGATTCATCGGTTACATACTGTTTGTCACATTGGTTTTTTTTCGCCATGGTGTTCAGACACGAATATATCTTTTTTTTTTTGCCCAGAACAAAAAAAAATAGACACCATGAACGTTCCGAAAGAAAAAAAAAACTTGACTTTCATACTTTTAAGCGTTTCTTCATGGGTTGCCGCTTCCATTGCTGATGCGCCAAACTAAAAAAAAACCAAAACAATAAAAAATAGCACTCTTCGCTTTTTTTTTTAGCTTTTTTAAGCAAAAAAAACAATTGTTCTAATTACGCTTCAAAAGCGAGTTGTTGAATTTGCGTTTTCAAAGAAAAATAAACGACAAAATTTGTACCATTGTTCAATAAAATATTTTTTTCAAAGAGACACTTTCAAATAAATTTTTTTATCAAAGAAATCCGCAAGAAAAGAAATAAAGAAATAAAGAAAAAATAGCTATTAAGCGATGAATTATTCAAAAAAAAAATTGCCTCCCTCATTTATTAAGTTACTTTGTGCAAAAAAAAATAAACAGCTAATTACGCTTCAAAAACGAGTTGTTTAATTTGTGCTTTCACAGAAAAATAAAAGAAACACCAACTGTTTAGAATTGTGCAATGAGACATACATTTTCTTTAGCGACATCATCGGCTTGAATTATAATTTTTTAAAAGAAATAAAGAAAGAAAAAATAGCTATTTGAGCAATGAACCATTTAAATAAAATAAAAAAAAATAAATTTTACACTATAAAAGCCGCTTGTTTTTTCCAGTGTCCAAAATCGCTTTTTTTATTCCATTCTCTACTAAACATTATACTTTCAATTTTTTTTATTTTAAGCTACCACTTTAAATTTATAAATTTCCAAGAATGCACATCGTTATCAAGATCAATATGTTTGATGGTTCTTTATTTGTTGAACAGAAACTAACAAAGAATACTACTGGCCTAAAAGTGAATTTTGATGATTTGAAAAGCAATATTACTTTGGAAACAAAAGCAAAAATATTCAAGGAATTAGGTATTGAAGTCAAGGATCAATTCACGGACAAGGACATGAACAAGGACGTGGACAAGTACTTTTGTCACTTTTATAAAGGAAAAGATAACAAGGCAATAGCGTATGTGTTTAATTATAAAGATAGATTTGAGGTAATTGAAAATATATATTATTAACTTTCTTCGGTTGCAAAATAAGCGTCAGACGAGTAATATTAAAGTATCAAATAAAGACCATTTTTAAAATTTTTATTAAAAAAAATAAAGAAAAATGTGATTATTGTTTTCGAGCTTTTGCACTTGTGCTTCGTTCGTTTCTCGTGATAACAGTAAGACATTGCTCGTCTCCTTAGGTCCGAGTCGGCTTTCGGGTTTACCTGGGTTTCAACAATATTAATATATAAATATTGATAGTACTATTTTGCTTATTAGGCAACAGAGATGAACTGGTGAATCTGAAATTATTATTATAGGTTTGGTGACATTAACTTTATTTGGTTGTTTTAATTAACTAGCAATTATGTTTTATAAATATATAAAGTACTTTAAGGACATGCTTAAGATAAAAAATAACTAACGGAAGTCGACTCCAGAATACCAACCCCCCCAGAGGTGGAGAGGAAATGGGCCTCCTTTTATATAGGACATTAACCACTGGTAGGATATTGTCGTACAACCCTCGAGCTAGATTTTCAACAAAAAAATTACAGAAATAAAATTAAGCGAAGGACCATCAATTACTAACGCCTGTAAAGGCTGTAGTCAAGCGGTACCACGACTGCGTAATAAAAAGCAATTACTACTTGCTTAATCACTACGCTTTTTCCACAAGTTCATAGAGACAAAAGCATAATTATCAACTCTACCAAAACGCTGTAAATCAATAACAAATAAGCAAAAATACAAGTAGATCAAATCAAAACATACAGAAAAAAGAGAAAAAAAATAAAAAGAAATTCTAACCCTTGGTATCGCGGATAAGCGACTTGATAGCATCGACGCTTCCCCATATAGACGCAACAACACCAATGACAAGCACCACGACCATCCATATTTTCTCATACCACGGCGCTACACGATGACCATAAAGCTTCAGATAACAAATAATGGGCAAAATAGCGTACATCGTAACACAGGCAATAGAACTGATCAGACCCAAAAAGTCCGAAAAATAAGGAATAGCCAGTGAAATGGCACAAACAACACCAACTACCACGCTACGGTAAACAAGACGAACGGTGAACTCGCGTTTTTTGCCCAATCTTTCAGGCGTGATATTCCACATTTTTTCGACCTCCAGGTAGAAGCTCAAAAGCATAATAGGCGCTGCGATCATCACATGCAGGGTAATCAGGATCTTGGACGCGGTGGCCGCGGCGCCGGTGGGGATAGAGTCGAGCACTGGCGATACTACAAGGTCGCCGTAGGCCCAGTAGCCGGCGACGCCGATCAAAAGATAGCAGACGGCGCAGAAACCCATGGCTGAGTAGACAACGTTGGGCCATTGCTTGGGCTTTTTCATCGATGCCTCGACATGCGGGTAGACCACGGATCCGGAGTACGAAAACACAATGGATGACAGCGCCACGGGGATTCCGATACCAATGGCAATGTCGTGTGCTGGCTCTGCCTCAGCAGGGAACATGGCGGTGTACGGGTTGGTGATGGCCATGACCGATGCGACAATAATTACAACAACCGATGCCAGCAGCCCAAAAATGGCCATGATCGCGGCCTCGCTCATCTCCTTGAGAATGGCCACGGGAATCCATATGATGATGGTAACGAGGATCATCCACACCTTCTGCGTAACGTTGACCCCCAGCGTCGACACCAGCTGGTAGATAAACTGGCCTGACAAGATGATGTACAGGCAGGTGGTGCCCAGCGAATACAGGTAGT